AGTCTCCAGGGAGGTCCAGATTTCTGGTGATTTGCCATCTGGCTGAGGAACGAGAAGAGTTGTGGCTATTAGAGACTTGGGGGCAGATCCCGGCTTTTGTCCAGACTCCACCATGGCTCCATACCGCCCACAGCATCACACTGACCCTTCTCTGCTGTCCTCGCCCTTCCCGATCTGCTCCCAGCCTTCACCTCCCCAGCCCTTCCTCAGGTGCTCCCGGACACGAGCCCAGATATTTGGTCCAATTGAGCCCTGCAGTTTCTTGAACACCTACTATGTGCCAGGCCCAGCAGGCAGAAAGTAAACCTGGCTACCCTGGGCAGGGGCCATTGCCTGTCTGGGAGGTGGGTGGTGGGTGATCATGACACTGACCTCCCTGGGATTCCTCTGAGAGTGAGGGACAGCAGGCGTGTGGAAGGCTCAATGCTGTGCCTGCCCCAAAGTGGGCACCGGGTACGTGGGGGCCATTGTTCACTCACCTTTTAACAAATGTTTACTGAGCATCTACCAGGTGCCGGGCACTGTGCTAGGCACTGGGTTATAGCCACAAATAGGACAGACAAAAATCCCTGCCCCATAGCATTGACCTTTTGTTTGGGGAGATACTCAACTGACAAACAAAAACAGGTATAATATATCAGGTGGAGATAATGCTATGGAGAAGAAGAAAGCAGGGGAGGGGATGGAGGTGTCTAGGACACTGTTTCATGTAGGGCCGAGAGAAGATGTTTTTGGAGGCGACACTGGAGTAGAGACTCCATGGGGGAGCTGTGCTGAATCTGGGGGAAAGAATTCCAGGCGAAGGGAAGAGCAAGTGCAAAGGCCCTGAGGCAGGAGTGTTTTGGTGAGTGTGAGGCTGGTGTGGCTGGAGCAGAGTGAGTGAGGGCAGAGAGGGAACAGGGGCGGATCCTGCAGGGCTCTGTGGGCTGCAGGAGGACTTTGGCTTTTACTCTGAGATGGGAGCCCTGGGAGGTATGTGAGCAGAAGGATAGGAGCTGACTTAGGTGTCAATAGGATCTTCTGGCTGAGTGTGGGGAACAGACTGTGGGAGGTGAGGGCAGATGCTGGGAGGCAGTGAGGTGACTGCAATAGTCTAGCCGTGCTGTCCAGTATGGTAGCCACTACCATTAGCTTATCCGAGTTTAGATGAGCTGTGAGCGAAAAGTACATACCAAAGTGGTGAATATTTTGTAATGTATAGGAGTATTGAATCACTTTGCTGTGCACCTGGAACTAACATGGTGTTGTAGGTCAATGTCACTTCAACTAAAAGAAGAGAAAGGACACGTAATCACAGTATCCTAATAGGTTCTGCAACGAACAACATTTACATTGTTATACTGGTGCAAACGCTAATTATTGATACAATTAAAAGTATGATAAAATTTTGGGGAGAGGATGAGAGGAGAGGTGGAGGTATTAAAACTTCATCTCATAACATCTCCAGATTAAAAATTTTTTCTCTTCTTCTTATTGTATCTATAGGAGATGATAGATTTAACTAAGCCTATCGTGATAATCATTTCATAATATATGTAAATCGAATCATCATGCTGTACACTTTAAACTTACACAGTGATATATGTCCATTTTTTCTTTCTTTTTTCCTTTTGGCCGTGCTGTGTGGCTTCTGGGATCTTAGTTCCCCGACCAGGGATTGAAACCAGGCCCTCCGCAGTGAGAGCAAGGAGTCCTAACCACTGGACTGCCAGGGAACTCCCTATGTCAACTTTTCTTAATAAAACTGGAAAAAAAAGATTCTGAAGGTGAAAAAAAAAAAACAACCCACCAAATATTGAAGATTTATTGCAGACACACACACACACACACAAAGAATGCAAAATAGATTGTTCACTTTTTATATTGAGTCCATGTTGAAATTATAACATTTTGCCTAGGTTGGGTAAAATAAATTCATTTCACCTGTTTCTTTTTACTTTTCTCCATGTGATACTAGGACATCTTAAAGTGTATATGTGGCTCACATCGTATCTACTGCATGGCCCGGGACCAAGCAAGAGGTGGTGGACCAGAGAGAAGAGAAGTGGCCAGATTGTTGGTATATCTTACTAATGATTCATTATCCATGTTGACATTGTTGGCTTTCCCTGTTAGCCAGCATCACCCTCCCTCCCTGAGAACCCATTTTGCATGAGCCTCAGGAGGTTAGAGTGGGTAAGTCATTATCTTCTCCGCAGCTGGGGACAAGTTTCTCTGACCTTGTTTTGTCAGCTCTCTCCCCCAACCCTGGCTCTCTTTTCTCACCAGCCACATCATTAATGCCCTAGGGAGTGGGAGGTGACCTGGGACTGCCTCATTCTGTCTCCCTGCTGAGACCCCGCCCACTACTGACTTAATATTTGTAAGATGGCCTGGGCTCCCGTGGCAGGACCTTTGTCCTGTCCTCCTGGGCGAAGCTGAAGCGGGTTTCTGGACCCCCCTTTTCTGTTCCCCTTATCTCTTCAGAGGGAGGCTGAGGGAGATGTAATATTTACTCATGGATCTGACTTCAGGGTGTGGCTTCCTGTGCCGGCCTGGCAAGGTCTGGCCTTGGTCCTGGGGAGGCTGTTATGTCCCCTTAATTCCTCACCCTCGAAAGAACACCCAGGCTACTGTACCAGAGGGAACAGTGGATTGGAGGGGCAAGCCTCAGACCTTCCCCACGGGCTGTTCCTTTTGGCTGGATACCCGTCCCTTCCCCCACTCCTTGTCCCCATTCTCACCTCATTCACCTGGGTTTTTCCAAGTCATTCAATCGTTTAACAAATATTTATTGAACACTGATTATCTGCCACGCTGTGTTGGGCAGACAGGCAACAACCCTTTCCTTGTGGGGCTAAATCCTATTGGAGGGAGATGGGCCATAATCAAGAAACTGATAGAGTGTATCAGGTGGAGATAAGTGCTATAAAAATATGAAATAGGGCAAGAGGATTGGGAGTGTCAGGGATTGCTCTTTTCGTAGGGAGGGGTCAGGGAGGGCCTTTCCGAGGAGGTGATGTTTGAGCTGAGACCTGAAGGAGGTGACCGAGGGGGAATGTGACGATCTGGGGGAAGAGTGTTTTTGGCAGAAGTCGCGGCAAGTGCAAAGGCCCTGAGGCAGGAAGGTCTTGGACGAGTGTGAGGATGGCAAGAGGCGGGTGTGGCTGCAGCTGAGTGAGGGAGGGGGACAGTGGGAGGAGCTGGTTATAGAAGGAGCAGGGAACCCAGGACAGGGCGCTTTGGACGCCACGAGGTGGCCCATTATAGATGAGTCAGGTGATGGTAAGGTCCAGCTTGTGGTATGAGAGCCAGTGAGGGACAGAAGGGAAGGGTCTAAGTGTGGGGTGAGGGGCTGCAGGGGGAGAGGTTGGTACATGTGAGGGGCTGGGCTTTTCAGGAAGGTGGCCGAGGGCAGGAAGTGAAGGGCAGAATTAGGGAGGTGGAGGGGAGCAGAGAGAGTGCCACGGTTCTCTGGGGACCCCCAAAGGGCCAGAAGGACCTGGGAGGGGTGACCTGGCTAGGTATCCTTCCTCTCTGGGCCTCATTTTTCCCATCAAGAGTATGGGATGGGTTGGACTTGGGTTTAGAGTTATGGTTAAAAGCAATTTAAAAGCCATATTTTATTCTGGAAAACTTCCAAAGTTTACATACTCATCAAGGGCAGAGCAATGTCCTTCCCCCCACATCCATCACCCAGCTTGAGCCCATCTTATTTCCTCTCCCCTACCCATGATCCTTTCTCATTTATTTGAAAGCAAATTCCAGCCATGGTATCCTTTTATTCAGAGATACTTCAGCCTGTATCTCTAAAAGATAAGGACTCACACAAAACAAAACAAAACAAAAACCAACCCTCACAATGTCATTATTTTGCCTAAAATGTGAAAACAAAATCAACAATGAACAGTTCCTTAGTATCTTCAATACCCAGTCAGTGACCAAATTTCCAATCATCTCCTAAATGTCATAATCTCTTTACCAGCTTCACTGAGGCATACTTTTCATCCCATAATATTCACCTTGCACAGCCATTCCCCAAATCTAGTTTTAGAACCCTTTCATCACCCCCAAGGGTTTCCTGGTGCCGAGATCCAAAAATGGTGCAATATTTTGAAATGTTTGCTTCATCCGTGGAACGCTTTCCTCAAGCGAAATCCTCCATGGAGCCCCAGTGTGTCCAGCAGATAAAAATACCTCGGTCTCAACACAGCCCACTCCCCCAGATACAGAGACAAGCCTGCACTCTCATTAAAGGTGTGAAGGGTGGTGAGGGGGTGTTTACACCTCTGAAGCCAAGCTACCCACACCATGTGACCCCGGCAGACTCTTTCAGAGTACAATGTCGTTTTGCACACAAAGGGGTTGAATTTGGGAGAGAAGGGTTTTCCCCATGAATCATAATCACCCTTGGTCATGGCCCAGTCTACTTCCTTCCCCACGCAGCCACTTCCTCGTTTGTAAAACAAGGAGCCACAGCCCTGAGAATCTAGACGTGCCAATGGACTCACGGGAAGTAGGTAGTGGTGGGCAGTGACCCCTGGTGGGTAGAGATGGGGTGGAGAGAGTCAAGGAGCCTGGGAGCTCCCAGTCCCAGCCAAGGACATTGGTCTCTTCCTAATTGGGCCAAACACTGAACCCACCATCAGCGATACCTCCTTTGGGTTAAGCATTGCCCTGTCCTTGGTGCCCTTTGCTTGGCCACACAGATCCCAACTAAATTTTAGTGGGTGTGGGTTACATCTTGGTCCCTCTTCCTTCCAGCCTGGAAACGTGCACAGGAGGAGACATTGTTCCTGAACACAGGGAATTTCCAGTCTGAAGAGGGAACACAATTCCCACCACCTAGAAATCTCCATCCTGATGGAGGAGATCATCCCTATTTCAGTTTGAGAGATTAATTTACCTTCTGAGGGTAGGAATTCTGTTCTCACTCTTATTGTAGCGCAAAGCATGAAACATGATCCCCGTTGTCTAGGATGACAGTTTGAAGAGGGAGGCGTGCTCCGCCCTCTATACCTCTAGTCTGATGGGAGAGGTAAACGACCATCATTAGCCTGCTCCTCCAGTACGGTGGTAGAGGCAATATCTCCTGTGTTTTATGGTCCAGGAAAAAGGATGCCTTACCCTCAGACTACACACTGTATTTTAAAACCTTTGGTCTGGTGTGCCTCTTACAGAAGAGAGAAGGCATGGAAGCCCCGTTTAGTGTCCCCAGACTGAAGGAGGAAGCCTATCAACCCCTGGTCCAGGTCATCAGTTTGACAGAAGAGGCAAGAGCTCCATTTGGGGAGTCCCAAGTCAGATGGAGAAAGCGGAGCCCCTCTTCTGGGAGCCCTTGTCTGAAAAGAGGCCCCCCTCTCCCCGTCCCCTCCCACACACTCACGGGCCACCTGCAGCTCCACTTCCAGCATCTCAGTCTTGCCCTGCAGCGTGACGGTCTTGAGTGTGTAGCGGCCGGCGTCGGTGAGGTTCAGCTTCTGCACCAGCAGCGAGCAGTTGGCGAAGCCCACCTCCCGGCCTGTGTGCGCGGGGCCTGCGATCCAGTTCCCCGACGGCAGCTGGCTGAGCAGCCGATTGGGCTCAGAGGCAGGCCCACGGTACCAGGCATAGACCAGCAGATCCTTGGGGTAGCCGTGTACGGTCAGTGTCACGTCCTGGCCCTCCATCGGCCTGGTCGGCACCGGCACGATTGTCATGGCGACCACGGCCGCTGGGGAGAGAGCGAGGGGGGCTGGGTCACCTGGGCCTTGGTGGGGCAGAGCGTCCGCCGCCCACCCCCCAACCAGCTCACCTATGCATCCCCTGGCTGGCGCTCCCCATGCGGGTTGGCGGGAGGGAGACAGAGGAAGGAGGTGACTTGTGTGGTATGGAGGTGGATTTTGTGTCTCAGCAATGCCTGCCTGCCAGGGAGCTGTCTTCACCCGTCAGATTGAGGCTGTCTCTTCCCCCATTAGACTAGGAATTTCCAGCCTTTGGGGGAATATCTCTCCCATTAAACTGGAAGACCCTAGAGGGTTGAGTCATGTCTCCTCCATCAGATTGGAAATTCTCAGAATATGGGGGCCGTGTCTCCCCCATCGGATAGCTGGGAGCTGTGTACTCCAGGTGTTGTCTCTTCTGTCAGCTCAAGAGACCTCAGAATATGGGGGCTATAGTTCCCCATCAGATTGAAAGATTCCAGAGGGTGGGAGGCCATGTCTCCTCCATCAGATTGGAAATTCCAGATTATTATCAGGCTGGGTCTTTCCAGTCAGGCTGGGGACCCCAGAACTTGAATGGGGGCATGTCTATCCCATCAGACTGGAAATTCCTAGAAAGTGGGGGGCTTGTACTCCCCCATCAGATTGGGAGTATCCCAAAGGTGGGAACTGTGTCTCCCCCATCAGACTAGGAATTCTCAAAAAAAAAAAAAAAGCCATGTCTCCTCAAGACCATGTCTCCCCCATCAGATTACAAAATCTCCTCAAGTGTCTCCTGTGCCTCCTCCATCTGATTGGAAGCTCACTGAGGGTGGCTGTTATGTCTCCTTCATCACTGCTAGAATGGAGTATGAGGCATTGCCTCTTCTCCCTAACTGGCAGCTCTTGAATAGGGAGGCTATGCTTCCCTGTTTCAAGGCCATCTCTGCAAGGGCAGAGACCATGTCTCCTCCATCAGATCAGTCTCCCCCAGGTGGAAGAAGGGTGGCGTCTCCCTTTCCTCTGTCTCTCCCCTGGCACCTGCCACAGGGGTGCTGACAGTTTAGGAGGCCGTTGGGGGCACCTTACCCACTCCCTGCACATACCTGCACACCTTGGACACCCCCCATCTTGACCTGCACAGACAGGGCTCTGGACAGCGCCTGAGGTCATCTGGTCCACCCCCCTGTCTCCTGCCAAGACCAGCTGCTAAAGCCCCAGTAGGGTGGGGCAGGAGGTACACTTACCTCTGGGAATGCCATTTCTGCTTTGGGTGAAAGAGTATCCACCCTTTGGATGAGGGCCAGCCTGTTAGTAAGAGGGAGGGAGGAGGGAGGGAAGGACCGTTCCCACTGTCCCTGGGAGATGGTGGCCACTTGGGAAGGAACCAAGGCAGAATGAATGAGGCCCTAATGTTCAAAGCCACCATCCCCAGGGGATGAGAAAACGTCCCCTGAGGATCCTGATATCTCTGAGAAAACCAGCTGTGTCTGCACTACCCCCACCGCCAGGTTGTTTAAGGACAGAGGCAAGACAGCGCCTCTCTCGCTGTGTTTTTCCATTTGCCAACGACTGGCTGTGATTTTCCAGGAGTGTATGCGCGTGTGCGTGTGTGCGCATGCGCACACCGGCATCTGGGCCAGATAACTGGGTTATCTAGTTGGATGTGCTGAGGTTCAGCTGTCTGTTTGGCAGGGAGTGGGCCCAGCCTGGAGCAGCTGTGACAGACTGAATGTAGAACATGGGCACCCATAGGAAGGGACATCCGAATGTTTTCCCACTCTGCAGCTGCACGGTTTGGGACATGCGGCCCATTTCTCACTTTGCCAACCCTCAAGGAAGAGAGCCTGATTCGTCAGTTGTTTTCTGGGCGACAAGGCACAGACTTCCTCTTTTTGTCACCTGGATGAAGAGGGTCCACCTGATATGCCACTTTGTCACTTGGCCAACGCATGGGTTGAGAATCTCTCACTCTCCAATCATCTCTTGGGCAAATGGTGGCCTAATGGCGGGTAGAGCAGCCAAAGCTTGAGTCCAACTGGGCCTCCATGGGGGGGGGGGTTGGTCAGGCTGGGGGCGACTCACCAGACAGTTTGACAACCACTGAGGCAGATCCAGAAAGCAGGGTCTTGGGGTTCTTAGCAATACACGTGTACGTGCCCTCCTGGGCTGCCGTCATGCTACTGATGTTGAGGTGGTCTTGGCCATTCTTTAAGGCCCGCCCGTTGAAGGCCCACATGTACTCAGGCTCCGGGCAGGACTGGGACACGCACCACAGCGTGAAGGATGTGTTGAAGTCGACTTTGATGGTGCAGCCCGTGCGGGCGGTGGAATCCTGGAGGATGGCCACGCGTTCTGGGCCAACTGTGAGGGGGGGGAGGGAGAGAAATGGGGCAGTGGAGGGAGAGGGTGGTCGAGGTGGGCACCCCCCTGGCTTTCTTTCCACCAGGATGGGCCCCTGGGAATATCTGGAGGGAAAAAGAGCTCTGGCCTTTTCGAATCCCACATGGATCTCTAACTCGCTCTGAGATCTTGACAATCACCTTCCCTCTCAGGGGAATCTCAGTTTTCTCTTCTGTAAAAAGAGGGTGTTGGGCCAGACAACATTTCAAGATATTTTTGAAATCTATGGTTCCATTAAAAAAAAAAAAAAGTCTAAATGGTTTCTGATAAGCCATTCTAAGAGTCTAGAATTCTAGGGTTCCAAGAGCAGATATTTCTATGTTCTAGGATTCTAAGATTCTAGAAATCTATGTTTCTAAGATTCTAGGGTTGGGTGGCTCTAAGGTTTTAGAATTAGATTCTAAGATTCTAAGAACCTCTGCTTCTAGAGTTTCTAGGATTCTCAGAGTCTAGAATCCAGCGCTTCTTAGATCCAGAATGCCCTGGTTGTAGGATTCTAGGTTCTAAGTTTCTCTACATTGCCGGCCCTCGTGTACCTGAGTGACTTCCTTTCTCTGGATGGCACATTGCATATCTGCTGCCCCTGGGAACGACTCCATGCTTTGATTATGTTTTTAATTTTATTTCCCCTCCCATTCTACCACTCACGCCGTCCCCCCACCCTTTCAAAACCAGCCAGTCCTGGAGGTATTGATTCAAAGGGAAGGATTATTCAATTTCAAACGTGGTCTTTCGTCCTTAGGAGATGGGTCAAGTGCATTTTATGGGGAATCCCTGGCTTCTAACCCCAGCTGGCCTACTGACTCATTGCATGCCCTTGGACACTCTCTCCTGGCCTCAGTTTCCCCATCTATGGGGTTGGGGCACTGGGTATCTCTGCAGGGGCTGGGCCAGGAGGACTCACAGTACACGGTCAGGTTGATGGGCTCGCTGCGGCTGACACTGACCGGGTTCCAGACCTCACACTGGTAGGCTCCGGCCTCCTCCCTGCGGATGCCGTGCCGGGTCAGCACCCGGCCATCAGGGGACAGGCCGAGGCGGACGGCGATGGGCAGGGTGTCGCCATTGAAGAACCAGCGGACCTCGGCGGGGCTGGGGCTGCTGCATATCAGGCGCAGGGTGTCCCGGCGCTCCACCAACGCCGTGCTGTTGGTCATGACCACAGGCTGGGCCAGGATCTCTGTGGGGCAACAGACAGAGGGGGAGGGGGCCGGGCACTGCCTGCTTCCAGGGCCTCCCCCTCCCCAGGCAGGGGGCATGGCTGGATCCCGGTGGTGCCCCTGAACCCCCAGCCAGAGGGGCAAAGAACAGGATGAGAGGCAGGTTTAATCCCAGAAGCCATCTGGGAGGAGGTGAGCATTTTAATGTTATTTTAGGTCAGTTTTTTTTTTTTGATGGTTTTAATATTTTTTAGAGTTTCTTTTTTGTTGTTGTTGTTTTTTTTTAAAGGAAGGATTGGGAAGGAGATGGGAAAGCCCAGCTGGGGAAAAGGGGGCTCTGGGGGGTGTCTCACCATAGACCTGCAAGTGTCCGTAGCCCACCTCCGTCTGAAATTGCCTGTTGAGAGTCTGCAGGATGTAGGTGCCCGAGTGCCCGGGCAGGGCGCCCTGGATGTTCAGGCTGCCGTCGGGGCGCACAGCCTCCCGCCCCGTGTGGGCCGGGCCAGGGGTCTCATCGCCTGTGCTTACGATGTAGCTGGCCACCAGGTAAGATAGACTGAGCGTGGGCCCCGCATACCAGTTGTAGGCAAGCAGCTCCCCTGAAAGCCCTTGGACAGCCAGTGTGACGTTGTCGCCCTCGGCTGGCTGGGCAGGCTCGGAGGTGATAGTGATCTCGGCCCCCGCGCTCAGGAAAGCGGCTGAGGAAAAGGAGCCAGAGGGGTGGGATGAGGTGGACTTGATCGCTCCCCACGTTTGATGGAGGAGGAGACGTGGCTCCTGGCACATGTGTTCCTACCACAAGTAAGTGCTCAGTAACTGTCAGCCAGGTGTGGAGTCTCAGTCCTGGGGAGGGGGCTGTGATCTGAGGATTGGATTTGATGGGCTGTGCTAAGGATCTAGCCTAAGGCTTTGCTCATAGCAAGCTCATAGCACACTCTCAGCCTGCAGGACCTTGGATACCACCCAGAGGGTTCCCCCCCACCACCACACTGCTGTGAGAGTCACTAGGCCTCCACTTACGAGATCAGGCTGCCTTGTGTAGCCCCTGGACCCCGACTCCCGGTCCAGCGCCCTTCCTCTGCCTCTCCAGAGGCAGAAAGTAGGGCCGTGATTAATACACTCCACCCCTTCTGTTCTCAACCCAACAGATAAGCCCCAAACCTGACTAGCTGGTTGGGGCTGCCTGGGTTTGAATTGTGTGTGGTTGCCTGGATTGAGAAGCTGCGGCGGTTCTCACGTAAGAAGTGCTTACATGTTTGGCTTGGTTTCTGGTACTTTCCGTGTTGATAAAGGCTGACTATGAGCGAGGCCTCTGCGTCTAGCACTCAGCCCTGCCGCTTTCTGGCTGTGTGACCCCGACCAGTGCCTTGACCTCTCTGAGCCTCAGGCTTCTGGTCTATGGAGTGGGGGGTCATGGGTGGGCCTTCTTCATAGGGTGGTTATGAATACGTGGAAAGCATTTAGAACAGCACCCAGCAAGCACTAGTAAACGCTGCTTGGAATGACCTTCAAACGACCCCAGGAGTTAGGCCCATTTCATAGATGAGGAAACTGAGGCTGAGAGGAGGAAGGCAATTGCCCAAACCATAGCCTGAGGGAGGGGCAGAGTGGCTGGTTACAACTTGCTCTAGTTAAGGCTTCCAGAGCTCAGTAAGAGTTTGCCACGTGAATGAAGGCATAGCAGTGGCTCCCTTGCCCTAGCGTACACCCCGCTCTTAGAAATCTCCAAAGTCCACCCTGAAAACCTCTCTGGGTGACGGTCCCCGGCCTGCCCCACACTGGTGACTCTTAGTGGAGCAAATTGTGCCTGTGTGAAGCAGAGCTGTCCTCCTGACGTGCTGGATTTCTGGCTGACACCTTCCCTCCCCAGGCCGGGGATCCCCTCCCTTCCCCGAGGCCGTGGGGGCTGAGGTTCTGGGGGCGCCATTCTCGCTCACCACTGAGGAGGAGCCAGCCGCATCTGGTCAGCACCATCTTTCACCCCAAACCCAGCTCTTGGAGACAGCGGCGTTGGCGGCCCGATGCTCCGAGACCCTTCCTGGTTGGGGTTTGGCTCCGTCTGGCGCCGGACGTGGGAGGGTTCGGTGATTTGGAGCCGGGGGAGATCACCTGAATTTGGAGGGATCGAGTCACCGAGGATCTGGGGCCCCGTTTGGGTACCAGAGCAGGTGTGGCAGGCACGGGCCAGGGGCCACGACCTGGCCAGGCCTCCTGGGGCGCTGCCTAAACTTCTTTGTGCCGAGGGCCCAGGTTTGGTACCAGGAGAAGAACCAGGTCATCAGGGAGGAGGAAGGAGGGGCAGGGGAAGATTTTAAGGCAGTTCTTACCCACGGCCCAGTCCCTGGTCTCCCTGGTGAACTTGGGGGTCACCAAGGGATAAAACCCATCTGTTGTGACTGCCGTTTTCCCAGCCCCAAAGCTGTGGGTGACCTTTAGGTGTCATCTCAGTGGCTGCCCTGTGATGTGAGCACTGTCAGAAGCCCCACTGGCAGATGGGGAAACTGAGGCACCAGGTAAGGGCTCTGACTTACCCAAGTTCTTGCAGGCGGGGAGGCCTGTGTGGCTCTATTTCCAAAGCCACACAGAAGGGAAGGCTGATGGCTGCACACTTCCTTTGGGGCTCTGCTTCTTGGCCTCCTGCGTGGGGCTGAGAAATCCATATTCTCTCTCTTCTCCTCCTGAGGCCTTGTTCTTTCTATAGGTCAAATGGGTGTATGTGGAGACTTTGGGGCTAGAGAGAGTCCAGTTTTGACCTTGGCTCTGCACTTACTGGAAGTGGGGCTGGGAGCGGCCCTTTCCTGAGTCTCCATTGACTGCTCTGAAAAAGAGGGATGGTGTGGCCCCTACTCAGGGTTGTTGAGAGCAGATGCTACATGTCAGGAAGTTAGCCAGCACCAGGCAGAGTCGGGTCCCAAACATGAGGTGTGGTTGACGTTACTGGACCTAGTTCCACTGTTCCTAGCTTCCATGACCCAGGGCAAGTTATGGAGCCCACTGGGCCTCAGTTTCCTCATCTGTAAAATGGGAGTCATGATAGTACACTCCTCATGAACTGTTGTGAAAAATGAAGTGTGAAATACTTACCACGATGCCTGGCCCTGAGCAAGCCTCAAGAAATCACTCATTCATTTATCCTACAAATATTTAGTGAGCCTAGATTGTCTGCCGGGCACTGTCCTAGAGGCTGGTAGGTAAAATCCCTGCCCTCATGGGGCTGACATTTGCAGGGTAAACAAATAAACAAAGTCTATTTCACATAGGATGGAGGTAAGTGCTTCGGGGGGAAAAATAAAGCCAGGAAGGGACTTTCCTGGTGGTCCAGTGATTAAGACTCCGTGCCCCCAATGCAGGGGCCCGGGTTCAATCCCTGGTGGGGGAACTAAGATCCCGCATGCCACTCTGTAGGGCCAAAAAAGAAAAAGAAAGAAAAAAAAAAAAAACCAGGAAGGGGGCTGGGGATTTTGGAGCCGGGGGCAGAGTGGGGGTGGTCAGGGAGGATGTCTCTGGGAAGATGATGCTGGGCAGAGGCCATGGAGGAATCTGGGGGAAGAGCATTCTTGACAAACGTGCTATTATCGGTATCTTAATAGCTTCTGGGTCCTGGTTTCTCCAAGGCCCGAGCATCCTGCTTCTGGGCAGTGGGCCATACCTGTGGCTCACCTGTCCTGGTTTGCTCCTCCAGCACCTCGTCCTGAGCTGCCCTGGCAGGGAGGGGCTCTGACGCGGGGGTAGTGTGAGGTGAGAGGGGTGGGTGCGGCCAGGTGACTTGTGGGTGACCTGGCGCCTCCTGCTGCCTCCACCCCTCCTGTGACCTCACCTCACCCTTCTCTGTCCTGGCCCAGCCCTCTCCCCTGAGCCCGGGACCTCGTCCTAAGTGTCATTCAGGCTGCCTCCCCCCCTCCCTCGATGTTCCTGGGCACCTCTCCCTCACCCTGTCCCAAACTGACCTCGACAACATCTTCCCCCAGACCCGCTCCTCCTCCCGTCCTCTTATCAGGGATTGGCGCCACCATCCACCGTCACTGGGACCGAGAGACTGGGCCTTGTCCCTGAAGTCCAATCCCCCTCTGCCCACCGCATACCACGCCCTATCACGCCTGCCTCTTAAATGCCCTGTGTGCCTTTGTCTCCCTCCCCATGGCCCCTGCCCTGGTCCAGGTCTCCCGCCCACCTTGTCTGGCTTCCCCTCCCCAACTCCTCCCTGGTCTCTGGCCCTGGTTTGGCCCCCTCGTGGTGCCCAGAACCTGCTATGGCTCCTCAGTACCCTCAGGAGAAAGCCCAGCTCCTCACCGTGGCCCTGCATGGCCTGGCCCCTGCCTGCTTGACCAGCCTCACGGAACGTCCCTTCCTTCTGGGAACTCTCTGCTCCAGTTATTCTGCCTCACTGGCGCTCTCTCTACCCAGCACACCCCTGCTTCCCTCTGCTCTATTCCATTGCCTATTCAAACTCCTCCTTCTCCAGGAAGCCCTCCTTGACTCTCAGACTGGGTTAGGTGCACCCCTCAACCCCAGTCCCAGCCCTGACCACCCTGGGTCCTAACTGTCAGGGGGTTGGTCTGTTTCTTCAAATGGACTGTGAGTCGTGGGAGGGCAAGACCAGGGCTGTTGTGGTCACCACCGTGTCCCCAGCACTGCCCAGCACAGGATCGGATACAGAGCAGAGGCTGAGAGAGTGTTTGTGGAACTGGACACCAGGGGTAGGTGGCACAGAGAGAGGAGTCTCCAGGGAGGTCCAGATTTCTGGTGATTTGCCATCTGGCTGAGGAACGAGAAGAGTTGTGGCTATTAGAGACTTGGGGGCAGATCCCGGCTTTTGTCCAGACTCCACCATGGCTCCATACCGCCCACAGCATCACACTGACCCTTCTCTGCTGTCCTCGCCCTTCCCGATCTGCTCCCAGCCTTCACCTCCCCAGCCCTTCCTCAGGTGCTCCCGGACACGAGCCCAGATATTTGGTCCAATTGAGCCCTGCAGTTTCTTGAACACCTACTATGTGCCAGGCCCAGCAGGCAGAAAGTAAACCTGGCTACCCTGGGCAGGGGCCATTGCCTGTCTGGGAGGTGGGTGGTGGGTGATCATGACACTGACCTCCCTGGGATTCCTCTGAGAGTGAGGGACAGCAGGCGTGTGGAAGGCTCAATGCTGTGCCTGCCCCAAAGTGGGCACCGGGTACGTGGGGGCCATTGTTCACTCACCTTTTAACAAATGTTTACTGAGCATCTACCAGGTGCCGGGCACTGTGCTAGGCACTGGGTTATAGCCACAAATAGGACAGACAAAAATCCCTGCCCCATAGCATTGACCTTTTGTTTGGGGAGATACTCAACTGACAAACAAAAACAGGTATAATATATCAGGTGGAGATAATGCTATGGAGAAGAAGAAAGCAGGGGAGGGGATGGAGGTGTCTAGGACACTGTTTCATGTAGGGCCGAGAGAAGATGTTTTTGGAGGCGACACTGGAGTAGAGACTCCATGGGGGAGCTGTGCTGAATCTGGGGGAAAGAATTCCAGGCGAAGGGAAGAGCAAGTGCAAAGGCCCTGAGGCAGGAGTGTTTTGGTGAGTGTGAGGCTGGTGTGGCTGGAGCAGAGTGAGTGAGGGCAGAGAGGGAACAGGGGCGGATCCTGCAGGGCTCTGTGGGCTGCAGGAGGACTTTGGCTTTTACTCTGAGATGGGAGCCCTGGGAGGTATGTGAGCAGAAGGATAGGAGCTGACTTAGGTGTCAATAGGATCTTCTGGCTGAGTGTGGGGAACAGACTGTGGGAGGTGAGGGCAGATGCTGGG